CACACAAACCAAACAAACCCCAAAACAATGTCGATCTCTTCTCTAAAATCTTGTACCCCACAAATAAACTGTGTCATCAACCAGATTCCCCACAAACTCTGCAAATGCTCTTGAATCAGTTTTAGCGATTCACCAAGTTTACAGTGCTTAAATAAATTGTGGAAAACGGATTTTTGTTGTCCTTGTTGTTGTTGTTGCTGTTGTTGTGAACTTCATCTTGTTTTCTCCAGATCGCAAACCATCCGTTGACGTCATAAAATAATCATGAATAATGTCATTATTGTCATATGAAACTCCTACGGTTGGTTCCAGAGAAGACATATTGCAGATTAATCAAGTACATGTATATTGCTTTTCTGACTTCAGTCGGTACCTGAACTGTTAGATGGTGTCTTCCATTACTTTCTGACCCACCCTCGTGGTTCCTTTTAAATGAGTAAGGGTATTTTAGTGGCAAAAGAAACAAAAGGTAAATATTAATAATGGTAAATAATAAATAGCATTTGTACAGCCCATAACCCCTCTCTTCAACAACTCTACGCGCTTTACACTATATTTCTAGTACCCCAGTAGACCATAGAACACTCTGAAACATTTTCAGCTTCCCGAGAAGCATACAGTGCAAGCAGCTTACTATAATATAGCATAATATCATTGTAGTATACCTGGGAAGGGGGGAGTGGGAGGGGGATGGAGATAGCACAAAAAGGGATACAAACGATTTACTCCAGAATCTGTGAAAAGAGGGCAGGTGATTGTCAGTAATAGAAGAAAGAAGACAACTCCCAAGATCAAGGAGAAAGGCGAAGTAACAGAGTTTATATAACATATAGATTTTAATAATTGAAGTTTGCATTCCAAATTTGTTGTTATATTAGATGGTATAAATCATTTGTAGTTTTTTTTTCAATAAATAAATTAATTAATTAATTTAAAAAATACATAAGTATATAAATAATAAATCAATAGTTTTTTTCGGGAATTATCACTTTCAGACCATATTTTTTCGTACTCCGAAATTAAAGGATGGATTTTAATGACATTGGACATACAGATAGCCAAGGGGAATGGATTTATTGCCCAGGTTGATTTTTTTAAAAATGTGTAATGTAGATTTTATTTCATGACCAAAATTCGTGTAAATTGCGGCAAAAATGACATTTTTAGAAATTTGACATACTATAACCCAAAAAATTCAATAAGATACCTTAAAAAAGAAAAAAAAAATCCGACTCCTATGCGATGATAACAATCCTTTTGCCTACCTATTTCTGAAATGTGAACAAACTCCATCAGTAAAGTAAGGAGGAGTAGCGATTTGTATACACGATGTAAATTTCAAGATGGAGGCCACTAAAATGAAAACTATAATCAATTTTTAAAAACAACATTTGATGATGATGATGATGATGATGATGATGATGATGATGATGATGATGATGATGATGATGATATTATTATTATTATTATTATTATTATTATTATTATTATTATTGTCATTATTATTATTAATATTGTTATTATTATTATTATTATTATTATTATTATTAGTAGTAGTAGTAGTAGTAGTAGTAGTAGTAGTAGTAGCGTAGTAGTAGTAGTAGTAGTAGTAGTAGTAGTAGTAGTAGTAGTAGTAGTAGTAGTAGTAGTAGTAGTAGTAGTAGTAGTAATAATAGTAGTAGTAGTAGTAGTAGTAGTAGTAGTATAGTGGTTTATGACAATGAAAAGCTCCCTCAGTCGAGCAGTCAGTGAGCTCAAGCTTAAAAAAATAAATCAATGCCGGTGTTTAGGGTGGGTATGAACCGTGGTGTATCCTTGAGGAAGACAAGGGAGAGATAGCTTAAAAAATACTACCCCCCCCCCCAAAAAAAAAAAAAAGAAAAAGAAAAAAAAGGTAAATAAAATAAATAAATAAATAAATAAATAAATAAATAAATAAATATATAAAGTGTTAAATCAAAAAGAAATAAAATAAAATAAAGGCAACTAGGACAACCAGCAATCGTTTCTCTGTATAACATTATCATTGTCATCTGTATTGATGTGATATTGCAAATTATTATGAAACTTTGAGGCTTACTTTTCAAACGTATATGCCCTTACTGTGTTGCAAGCGCCATACAACACTTACTAAAACTTAAAATAATAAAAGAAGTATTGTTTTTTCCTCTAAATGAAGTGGTATTCTTTGACTTTTACTTCTCAATTTCAGTTAATTATCATCAGAGAGAAGGCATGTTTTTTAAAAAAATCTGCATTTATGTGTTACTAGTTTTTGTTTGGGGAAATCGCCGACCACGTCAGCACCTTGATTTATCATACGTGTTCGGTGTCATCGTATCTGTGACATTCTTGTTAAAAAAAGCAAACAGACCTATAGCGAGGTGATAGCATGAGCAATTCTTTCGTGTCATCTTATCAAAAGTACATTCGCACCCCCCCTCTCTTTCTCTCTCTCTCTCTCTCTCTCTCTCTCTCTCTCTCTCTCTCTCTCTCTCTCTCTCTCTCTCTCTCTCTCTCTCTCTCTCTGTCATCTAATCCCAACCACTCTCTCTCTATCTCTCTTCCTCTCGCCCCCCCTCTCTCTCTCCCCCCTCTCTCTCTCCCTCTTTCAACATCTCCCTCTGTGCTCTCCTCCTCCCCCCTTCTCCCTTTCTCGCCCACATACATGCACACATTCCTATAATCGCGTTTAAATGCCCACACAAAGATCATCACTCATATCTATCAGCAAAGTGCGAAAGAAGGGTGAAAAGTCATGACCGAGCTTATAACATCTGGGGCAAGTGTGATAAAGGTCAATTGTTTGATGACAGGCGTCTGATAATCACTGATACTGTGTCGAAATTAGGTCTCGAGCATTCAAGGATATCAATAATGATTTCCCTGTTTTATCTGCTTGTCACATGTTGCACTTTCTATCATAAAACAAAAACCAGGGACACGGTTTTAATTTTGTGCTGTAAATAAATTGCCGTGGCATTAATTTAATTTGAACTGTGGCGTTTTCTGTTATCTGAATGTACTTTATGAAGGGAAAAAGAAGAAGAAGAAGAAGAAGAAGAAGAAGAAGAAGAAGAAGAAGAAGAAGAAGAAGAAGAAGAAGAAGAAGAAGAAGAAGAAGAAGAAGAAGAAGAAGAAGAAGGAGAAGGAGAAGAAGAAGAAGAAGAAGAAGAAGAAGAAGAAGAAGAAGAAGAAGAAGAAGAAGAAGAAGGAGAAGGAGAAGGAGAAGGAG